GTTGCCTCTGGTTGGCAGGCACCCGCCAGCCAAGTTACACGGGTTTTGGCCCCATTTCCAACCAGAACGATCCACAAGCCAACCGAGATCGGCTTGACACCGTGTAGGTGCATCTGGTTGACTTCTGGTTGCTTTCTGGTTGGTCATGGGTTGTTCTGGGCGTCCTAGCCGCTCACGCTACACGTGTTTAGGCCGCATTTCTAACCAGAAACCAACCAACTTCAACCGAACAGCACTTACACGTTGTAAAGCCACTTTACACGTTGTAAAGCCGAACTCTGGTGTATGCACTGTCTTGCAATCTGCATGTATTGCGTGGCAGTGCACAGTGCCAGCTTAAAGCAAAACGCATCAATACTTCGTGGCAGCAGATGCAAACTATAGGTGCACTGTGTTAGGCGTCAAATTGTCTTGAATGCTGTCTGTGGCCCTATTTAGAACTGGCATGAAGTGTAAACTCCGACTTTAGAGTACAATCATTTCATGCAGAAGAGACCGGCTGCGAGGAAGGGTGCGCAACCAGTGGCGGAGACGAAACAGACATGGCCCTGGCCACCCTGATGCAGGATCCCGCGCTTCCCTAAACAGCTTGTCTTGTGAATGTTCTGCATTTCTGTTGTTAGAAATGAGTAGGTGGAATACCGGATCGAGACTCGGCGGGGCGACGTTGACCACCGATGGCCCCCAGTCCAAAACCAGCTGGGCGACATTGGCCCCCGTTGTGTCCCGTTGTCTCCCATTGTCTCTTATTGTCGCCCGTTGCCTTCCATTGTCTCCTGTTGCTTCCCATTGTCTTGTCAGTCCTCCATTGTCTCCCATTCTCGATCCCTACCCCTATCTGTATCATTATGCCGATATGTATATGTATATATATATATATATATATATATATCCTTACTCCTACAAATCGACATATATACATATGTGCATATATAGTATTACTCCTCTATCCGTATCCCGTCCCGGTATTTCAGCCCTATCCCTATCCCCAATCCCATCCCGATCTTTATCCCTCTTTCGTTATCCCTGTCCCTTCATCCCTAGCTTGATATTCCTTTTCCCCTTCTATACTCGTATTCTCAATTGCCTATGCCATGCCGGTCTACCCCCACCCCCCTTATGCCTGTATCCCGATCCTTGTATTCCTATCCATATCTCTATCCCTCTACCTCTAGTTATCTGAATCCTCCTCCTTTTCTCGCCTCTGCCATTCTTTCGTCACCGCAAGACTCCGTCGATTCCCCTCCCGTCCTGCCACTCGTCACTCCTCCTGCCCCCCTTCCTTCTCCTGGTATTTCTGCTCCTCATCCTCCGTCTCGTCGACGCCACGCCCATCACCGCTGTCATCGTTACCATCGATGTCGCTCGTACTTGAGCCTCATCCTCTCTCTCGCCTCTTCCTCTCCCTCGTCCAGTCGATCCGTGAAATTTCTAGGCTACCATACTAATGCTCACAAGACTACTCAATGCAGTACCAGCCCAGACTGCGCTATCACCTGTCCCCATACACGATGATGGAGGCACCACAATGAAAGACCATACCACACATGAACACACTCGAAATGCCTACCACTACTCTGTTACACCATGCTATTATATCAGATGCTGTAGCCTCTCTTGGTACGTCCGTTTATAATCTTCTCTCCGCCACCAAGACAAGCTGTCCATGGCATTCAGCGGCGGGGGGGCCATTTCGGGGGTGGACAGGGCCCCCTTTAGCAAAGCGACCTTTGGTGAAAACTGCTAGGGGCATTCCACGTGCGCACGGCACCGCAGTCCGAGTGCACCCCAGCGGGGTAGCTAACCAACGTCCAAAATCAACCGAATGTATCCAGCGAGACGCGCGTCGATTAGCGAAACCGACTGGGGACTGCACGGGCACACTCGAATGCGAATGCCGATGAACCAGTGACAATTTCCTCAATCGACTTGTCTGCGTGGGCATTCTCCCACTGCCCTATCATTGCACGACTCTTTTTACGTACTCTTTTACACTACATGAGCCTGCACTCAATGTTATGTACTACTCTTGCATACTGCGCTACAACCTGGTACACTGTGGTCTTTGCTATAATCCTCTCCCCTCCACCGAAGCAAGCTGTTCGGGGTTTTCTGCCGCGAGGGTGCTATTCTTCTCCCAGTGCGCGAACTTGTCTATGCCATGGCCGTGACAACAATCTAACTACGTGCGAGCGGGAACAAACTGTCCACCGCCGGCGGCGCTGGGGGGGAAAGCCGAGAGCGATGAACAAGAGGGCTTCAAGCCCCCTCTAAGGGACCCCTCCTCCTCCTCCTCCTCCTTCTTTTTCGTTTTTTCCTCCTTCTCCTCCTTCCCGAGACCGGCGCACTTTCAGAGAACGCTTACCCCGGCATCCCGAAAACGATGGACCCGGCCGACGCTCCCGCCAGCGCCCACGTCGTGCACCGTCCGCGCAGGCGCAGGCGTCGAGCAGCAGGCGTCGGCACGTGCGCACGTGGCCTTCGGGGCCCGCTGTCCCCGGGCGCGCCACGAAGCGCCCACTCGGCCAGAGAGCTCGGGCAGCCCTGCCGTTCTGATGACTTGAGGCCCGAGCGAGGGCAGGGCAGGAAGGGAAACGGCTCTGCCCTGCTGCTGCGTGCTCTGCTTCCCCCCGCTCTCTCCCCTGCTTCCTCGCCCTGAAGGCGGCGAGGGCAGCGTGCCTGACGCCGAGGACTGCCTGCTAACCCCGCCGTCATGGTCTGCTGCCCCCCAAGGTGGGGGCCCAAAGGTGTGCGAGATGCTCACAGGCTCCGAGAGGTTGCGGGGAGGAACGGCTGAGGCCGAAAAGAACAGGAGACAGGAGGGAGAAAGGAGAGACGGGAGGTCAGAGGAGGACGGATGAGGGGGGAGGGAGGGAGGGAGGCTCGAAGGGCGAGGAGGGAGGAGGGTGGAGAGGGGAGGGAGGAGGAACGAGGGAGGAGGTGATCAAGCTGGAGAGGGAGGGGGGAGGAGTAGCAACACATGCAGCCAAGGAGCGGTCACCCAATTCACCCTTCATCCTCAGGCGAGCTCCCTCGCCGGAGCCCGCCCTGCCCGCCCGCGGGCGGGCCTGCCCTCGGGGCCCCTTCCCTGTCCTCCGCCCTCCCAATCCCCTCCCAATTGCTCCTCCTCCTCCTCCTCCTGCTGCTGCTGCTGCTGCTGCTGCTCCTCCAACTCCTCCTCCTCCCCCTCCTCCTCCTCCTCCTCATCATCATAATCACCCAAGAGGTGGCCCTCCCTGGCATGATGGGGGAGGGGACCAGGCGGAAAGGGGTCCTCCTTCCAAGGGCTCCCCCTGGGTCATACGTTTTCGCGTCCCTATAAGCAGTTTTTCTTGGCGAGCCTCCCGAAGACGGAGCGAGAAACCTTCGGGATGAGGCGGAAACGAGTCCTTGACCCAGGGGCGTCCCCCCCAGAACAAATTCATCCTTCTGGGTCTCGGGGCCCCCTAAGCGGAGACTCTGGTGAGCAAGGACACTGGTGCGCCCGAGCCAAATGCTGCCGAGGGTCGAAGCTTTCTCCATGGATGGTCCTCTCCAGGTGGCACTGTCCTGGTCAAACATGTACTGGTCTAGGGCGCCCTGGGAGGCAAGGTTGATGAAAGCGAGTGTGTGTACCATCTCTTTGGCTGTCCACATGTTTCTTTTCTGTACTCGTTCGTTCGGTTGCTTGTATTCCACTGGGTCAGAATTATCTTTTCATATTCTTGAAAATCGTCCGTTGCATCTTTTGCACAACCAGCCATTCCGTGGCGCTGGATAGAATCTGTAGGTACATTACACGTTGAATTTCCTTGCGGCCGATTACAACTTGACTCTTTCCGTGGCAGATTGCGAACTGATTCCATTCGTGGCCACTTGCACACTGATTCCTCTTGTGGCAAATGGCAAATTGATTCCTCTTCTGACGATTATTCGATTCCTTTTGTGGCCGAATAGAAAAGGATTCCTGCTGTGGCGGATTGCCAAAAGAATCCTTCTGTGCCCACTACACAAGGATTCCCTCTTTGGCGGATTGCTTGAAATGGTTCCTTTTGTGGCGAATTGCACACATATTCTTCCTGAGGCGGATCACCAACAGGATTCCTTCTTTGGCGGGTTGCAAACTGATTCCTTTTGTGGGCTTCTCAGACAATGAACGAGAGAGAGAGAGAGATAAAGAGAACGAGAGAGAGAGAGAGCGAGAGAACACAAAAAGAGAGAACGAGATAAGCGAAGAGAAGGCACAACATAAGAAATGAGACGTGTGATCTTTTTTTGGGGGCAGGCCGCCACTCAAGAGATCATGTTGCAACCCGCCACAAAGGCAATCACGTTGCAATCTTCGCAAGGGGCCTACCTGTAACGCCGCCATGAAAAAAACACAAATGCGTGCGTGGGCCACCACAGTAGGAATCGATTTGCGAGGCCGCACCACAAGAAGGGTCTCATGGTGGGCTGTGGGCCATCACAACAAGAATACGTGTGTAAGGCCGCCGAAAATAATCCTTTTTGTAACGTTCCATAGCAATACCATGTTGCAACCCGCTGTGCAAGGAATCCTGCGTTTTCTCCGGCAGCGGGGATCCTTTTTTCCATTCTCCGGGAAAGCGAATAGTTGTGCAGTCTGCGACAAAAGAAATGTATCAGCAATCCCCCGCAAGGAGGATCCACCTATATTTGCCATAAGTTGTGGCAGTTTGCTCTATTCCCCTTACACATAAAACAACGCTTGTAACCTGCCACAGATGCCACACACACAAACACGCAACACACGCACACCTGACCCGCGGTCAGAAGAAGGATCGGCCTCCATCGCTCATCGATGGAAACTCGATCCTCGCTCGACGGCCCTCGATGTGCGATCCAAGATCCTCGATCGATCCCCGACCCTCGACCCCCTGCCCTCTTCCTCATGGTGAGGCAGAGGCTGGCCCTCGACGGGTCTCCCTGGTGGCCGCCGCTCTCGGCCCACCCCACAGGGGAGAAAGGCGGGGCGGAGGCCGCGCCAGGAGGCCTACCAGCTAGGACGGCGAGGAGGGCACGTACGCCATCGACGACAAGGAGCCTGCGAGGGGCTGGGGGCGCAGCCCTCATGAAGGGGGGGGGGGGAAGGAGGGGGCGGAGGAGGGGGGGGAAGAGGTAATATGGCTTCTGGGCGCCTCAACCCCGCTGGTGGGTCCAGCATCCTGGAGTCACCACCCTGTAGTGCACGGTGTCCCCATGTAGCAGATGGCCTGGGCCACCTGGGTCCAGATGGCACGGGCTGGGCCAACGGTTCAAGAGAGCCTGAGCACTTCGCCCAGGCGCGGAGGAGGGGGAGAAGGGGGGGGGGCGCAGCGCGAGGTCAACAGAGGAAGGACCAGCTGCTTAAACATGGTAAGACTTCGGAGGTCCGCGCGGAGTTCTTGGATCAGCGCTGAGACGCGGCGCCGGAGGCGCCACCAGGGGGGCCCATCGCCGATCCAAGAACTCCCCGCGGAGCTTAGACAGTTTATGTTTATGCCATGTTTCTTCTCGGGTTGCTGAGAACGACCATGCCCCCCCGCCCTGAAGTCATCCTTTGTTCTTGTTGTATTATCCCCCAGGCGCGGACGCGTCGCGAAGCGATTGCACGAGAGAGTTGCCATCACCAACTAATGTGGGAGAACGGCCGCGCAAGCTCGTGAACTCATGGGCGCCACTGCGCAGTGGCGTTGCACGGGGTTGGCACGCCCGCAACCCGCATGATATTGGTTGACCGGGGCGATACCCGTGGAGCGTGCGCGCGTGGCCCGGCATCGCTGTGTGGTCTGGCAGGGGCAGAGCGCGAGCGCAGCCCGCCTTGTCCGTAGAGGGCGTATGGTTATGTTGTTCCCAGAACTAGTTTCGAGCACCCATGAAAATATCGAAACAATGCCGAACAAGAATCGGCTACCAGGGCCCGATACGTGAAAACCCTCCAATTTCGGTACTTTCTTGGTGCTCGAAATTCTTTCTGGTGGTCGAGGCTGAAGTAGTTTGGAACATCATAAGCGTAGGGCGCGGTGCGCACTACTGCTGTCAGGCATGGTGCAATGCGCACATTGTGGCCCGCGTGTGATTAATTCAGAAGGAAACTGGCCCAGGCCTGATGGGGCCCAGTCCGAAGGGAGGCCAAGGGTCAAAGGAACTTCTACGCAGGATTCAAGGGTCCGTCGACCCCGCTTGCCAGGGGCAAGAAGGCGTGTGAGACAATACGCGGTCGCCCTTCCTCCTCTCCTGTGGTCCAAAACCCATCTCAAGGTGGGGAACCCCAGGAACTCGTCAGCGGTCCTCAGGAGTCCTCGGAGCCTCCAATCCACTCTCCGCGGCCTACAAGATGCCCAACATGCCGTCCAAGATGGTTCAAGTAGGGCTCCAACGCTACAGAGAGGCCTCCAGAACATCCCAGACGACCCACGAGAGGGCCTGGAGATGGCCCAAGAAGGCTCCAAGACTGCCCAATAGCCCATCAAGACAGCCAAAAAGGCCCTCACGAGGGCCCCAAGAGCGGCCAGAGAGGCCGAAGATGAGGAACTCTCAGAGGCGCCGGGAGCCCTGCACCACAAGTTGGCCCCCACAACGCCCATTTTGCTCCCAAGATGCCCCCAAGAAGAAGTAAGGAGAGGGAGGAGCAGGAGCAGGATGAGGAGGAGAAGGAGGAGGGAGGAGGGCGAGAAGGAGGAGAAGACAAGGAGACGGAAGAGGAAGCCCGCTTCCCGGGAAGGCCACCACGCCATCGCTCCGTGTCTCACGCCTTTGCCTCTGCGAGCCCAGACACATGGCGCCCTGTGTTTTCTCAATGCGGGGATTCCGAGCCGTTGTTTGGCGCTCTCGTGGCCAGGGAAGGGCCACCAGGGGCCGAATATGTCAGATGAAACGCTGGTCGTGTTTTTCTTGCTTCACGACGCGAGCATGTCTGGGTCTCTCATGCCGCGCGCATCTGAATCCTCCCATAGCTGCAGGCCTGGTCGGGAGCGCTGCAGCTGCTCGGCGCCCGCAGACGCCAGGCTCTGCTGGCTCTGCGGCGTGAGGTAGGCAGCGGAATGCACGGAGTACGCGGACTGCTGGCTCTGCATGGAGTGCGCGGACTGCATGGACCGGGCCTTCCACGAGCGAGGGGCGGGGCGGACGAGGAACACGGTCAGTGGGGAGGATACTCTTCCGGCAAGGAAATCCCAAGTGAACGCTGCCAGGATGATCCACAAGCGCAGTCTGTAGACCGATTCATGTATTATGTTCCTGGATGCTGGCTGCTGGCCGTGAGGCGGATCGAAATATGTACATCGGTTTTGAAACGAACATCTTCGAAACTTGTTGGGTGGGGGGGGAGGGAGATGGAGGGATGGGAAGGAGGAGGAGGAGGAGGAGGAGGAGGAGAAGGAATGGGAGGAGGAGGAGGAGGAGAGGAGGAGGAGGAGGAGGAGAAGGAGAAGGAGGGGGAGGAGGGAGAGGAGGAGGAGGAGGGAGGAGGAGGAGGAGGAGGAGAGGAGGAGGAGGAGGGGAAGGAGGAGGAGGAGCAGGAGGTCGAGGAGGAGGAGGAGGAGGGGGAGGAGGAGGAGGAGGGCTCTTCGAAACTTGTCGGATTGTGGGGGAGAGGAAGATGGGAGGAGATGGCGGCAGAGGAGGACGAGGAGGAGGAGGAGAAGGCGGAGAAGGAGGAGGAGGAGGAGGAGGAGCAAGAGGAGGAAGAGGAGAGGGAGAGGGAGAGGAGGAGGAGGAGGACGAGGAGGAGGAGGAGGAGAAGGAGGAGGAGGAGGAGGCAGAGGAGGCTAAGGAGGAGGACGAGGAGGAGGAGGTCTTGGACGAGGAGGAGGAGGAAGAGGGGGAGGAGGAGGAGGTGCAGGAGGAGGAGGAGGAGGGGGAGGAGGAGGAGGAGGAGGAGGAGGAGGAGGGAGGAGGGGGAGGAGGAGAGGAGGAGGACGAGGAGGAGGAGGACGAGGACGGCCACTGCCCGAGTAGAGGCAGATCCACGAAGAGAGAGAGAGAGAGAGAGAGAGAGAAACAAAAATAAACAAGAGAGAGAGAGAGAGAAAGAGTCACACGATAGGGAGTGGACGGCCTCGCTCCGCGCGAAGGAGGAGGAGGAGGAACAGACGGAGGAGGAGGAGGAGGAGGAGAAGGAGGAGAAGGACGAAGAGGAGGAGGAAGAAGAGGAGGAGGAGGAGGAGGAGAAGAGGGATGGGGATGAACCTGAAAAAGTGGAACGTGCCAGTCTCCACCTCGTCATCCGCATCCCTACCCCCTCATGGATGAGGATGTGGCGGAGGAAAGGGAGGGGGAGGAAAACATCTTCGGTCCAAGGGCGAGCCATTGATATTCAAGGAAGGCAGAAGGTCTGAGGAAGGCCCCGAAGTACTTAGCACGCCCCTCGACCACGACCCCTCCGCCCCACACCCCCACGGGGGGGGACATTTCGACCAACGGACCGCGCGTCTGGGCTTGCGCAGCACGCGTGATTAGTGACCAACGCAGGATTACTACACACCTGCGGGGTTTCACGAGGAAAGGGATGGGGATGATGAGGAGGAGGGGCAGGTCCCACCAGCCCTCTGGGCGGAGGTGGTATAACGAAGTTGCCCCCCCTCACCCAAAAACCTCCTTCCCTGGTTGGGAGGGGCGATTATCATTGTTCCCGATTGATAAACACCCCTCCCCAGGCGACCGGCAGCCAACCAGGACCCATGCCGACCCCCCCACCATCCCGTCCGAGAAACAACACAGAATGCGTTTGGTCTCCGAATCTCGAGCAAGCGCGGGAGCACCGCGACCACTTTGCATGTTTTTTGACATGGACGGCGGGGGGGTCCTTATTTATTGTTTGCAGCGCGCAGGACAACCATAGAAAGAGCGTGTTCTACCGCTGCTGGCGGAAAACCGGGGGGGGGGCACTACCGGTTCGAACCCCTCCCCCCCCCCTCCTCTGGAAAACCGGGGGGGGTCACTACCGGTTCGAACCCCACCCCACCCCCCCCCCCCCCCCCCAATTCATCATGAAAAGGGGGGGGGTCACTACCGGTTCGAACACCCCCCCCCCCCTCGAACTCGAAAACCGGGAGGGGTCACTACCGGTTCGATTCGAACCCCCCCCCCTCGAAAACCAGGGGGTGGTGCGGACGGTGGTGGGGACGGTGGTGGTGGGGACAGTGGTGAGGGGACAACGGGACAGTGGTGGGGACAGTGGGACAGTGGTGGGGACGGTAGTGGCGGGGACAACGGTGAGGACAATGGTGGGAACAGTGGGGACAGTGGTGGGGACGGTGGTGGTGGAGACAGTGGTGTGGGGACAGTGGGAATGTGGTGGAAACAATGGGACAGTGGAGGGTACAGTTGTGGTGGGGACAGTGGTGAAGGCGGTGGCGAGGACGGCGGTGGGAAAATGGGACAGAGGTACAGTGGGGAGAACAGTGGGACAGCTCAGTGGGACAGCGGAGGAGTCAGTGGGACAGTGGGGACAGTGGGGATAGTCGTGGAGAAAGTTGGGAGAGTGGAACCGTGGTGGGAACAGTGGTGGGGACAGTGGGGGACAGTGCGACAGTGGTGGTGGCACTGGTGGGGACAGTAGGGGCGGTGGTGGAACCAGTGGGGACAGTGGTGGTGAGGACAGTGGCGCTGGGAACAACAGTGGGGGATGTGGTGAGGACGGTGGTAGGGACCGGGAGTCGTTTGCTGGAGGTGAGAGGTGGGGAGGGGTTCGAACCGGTAACCCCCCCCTCCGGTTTTCGAGGGGGGGGGGGGTTCGAACCGGTAGTGACCCCCCCGGTTTTCGAGTTCGGGGGGGGGGGGGGGGAGGGGGGGGGGTTTTGCCGGGGGAAGGAGGGGGGGGAGGGGAGGGGTTCCAGCAGGGGGGGGGAATTTCGGGAGGGGGGGGGGGGGATCCCCGGGTTCCGGAGGAAAAGGGCGGCAATTTTCCACAGTAAAGCGGCGGTGGATCACGCTCTCTCCAACCATATCCTTGCCAACAAACAAAACAACACACACGCACGCTTTGCTTCCAAACCTGGAGCATACGCGGGCGCCCCGCGACCACTTTGCATGCTTTGACATGGACGGCGGGGGGTGTCCTCATAGTGCTTGCTTCGCGCAAGCCAGCCACCCGGGTCATCGCACAACAAAACAAACTACACCACGCCGTTTTCAAATATGGAGCATGCGCAGGCGCCCCGCGGCCACTTTACATGGCTTTTGATACAAATAATCGGGTGCTATTGATGTGTTGGGATGGCGGGCGGCGGTGAGCGAGAGGGCTTGTGCCTTGTGAGCAGGAGGTGCCTTGACCCCTCCCTCTGCCCCCCTCCCCAAGGACTGGACGGGGGCGGTCGCGAGGGGTTCGAGCGTTCAAATAACAAAATATGGATCCAAGAGAGCCCCGGATGCAGCAAGATGGCCTTCAGGATGGCTCCGGAGTTTTCAATGTGACTTAACATGGCTTCTGACATTCCTCCCAAATGCCCCAAGACACCCCTAGAGGGTTCCAAGTGCCCTCCGGGCCGTCCAAGCTACTCCCCAGTGGCCAACGTCCTTTCAACACTTCGGGGGATAACTAGCTGTTGCGCTGCATTCTCGCAATTTCGCTTCCGATGTGCCTCTGGGGCCTCGAGATGGTCTCAAGAGAGCTCCAAAAGCGCCAAAACGGAGCCACAAAGGGCCCACAGAGACAATTGTTCGGCCTCCGATGGGGGGACCTGAATTGGCACCGCCCGACTTTCCCCTATTTAGAAAGCCCAGGAGGGCTCCAAGAGGCCTCATGAAAGCTCCAGAGGCTTTGAAGATGGCGCCAAGGGAACCCCAAGAGGGCCCCAGGATGCCTCCAAGAGGCTCCTAGAGCGTGCCTGCATGCTGCTGCGCATCCCTGATCAGGGCACCTGGCCTGGTGTTTGTTTCTGGATGGGCTGGCGAGGATTCGCGAAGCGTCAAGAAGTGTAATCACGAGGGGACGCAAAGGAGGAGGAGGAGGAGGAAGAGGAGGAGGAGGAGACACCGTAGAAACCGGGTTCTGGTCCGCCCACGCAAGCGGGCGGCTGGGCGGCGGCGCCATGCTGGGCGGCGCCATGCTCATCGCGCAGACAATGTCAACGGCTCTTTGGCTCCGAGGTGGAGCGAGGGAGGAGCGGGCAGCAGCAGAAGCAGCGCTCGGGAGCAAGGGAACCAGGAGAGAGGAGAGGCCAGCCAGCGCTGGTCGGTCATCGGCGCCCTGGCGCATGGAGCCAACATCTCTATTCCCCCCAACGTCGCGGACAGGGGCGGGGACGGCGCCAGCAGCGGCAGCGCCGACGGGGGGGTGGCTCTTGCACGACAGGCCCAGGCGAGGCCGAGCGCGGAAGGGTGGCGACCAGGGTCTCCGGGGTCGACGGACGGGAGCATCTGGGGGTCAGCCCAGGGGGCTCTGGCAGAACACGCGGAGGAGGGGCAGCCGCAGTCACGGGGGACTGCGGCGGGCCACGCCTGGGCGTCCGTCTCGGGGGCGAACAAGACGAGGCAGTCCAGGTTACGGGGTGAGTCGCAGGCGGAGGCGGCAAGGCAGAGCACGCGGCAGACGAGCTCGAAGCAGAGGAACTGGACGGGGGCTTCATACGCACGGGAGTGAGTTGAGCCCGCTCGCCCCCCGAGGGCGCGCGGCTCCGCCTGCTTCGTGGACCGTGCCCCCGCAAGGGCAGCACCGCGAACCTCCGCCAGCGACAGAAGCCATGAAGCCGACCGTCTGACAATATTGTAGGCAGCCTGAGCAACGGCCAGGAACGCAACGGCAGAGACCGAAGGATTCACGAAGGCACGCTTCTCCACCGCATCTCGCGGCAGTGGATGGCCAACGGCAACTTCCATCGCATTGTGGAAGCTCGGGCGCCCAGGATAATTAGCGAGTGAGTCGCGCTGGTCCAGAGAACCGAAAGCACAACAACGAACGCCTGCAGGATGCAAGATACGCGAAGATGCCAACCGCCCGTCGCACCAGGTCTTCAGCGCGGCCCACGCCCGCGAACACGGACAACGCTTCATCGCCAGAAAGACGGCGTCCGAATCGGTCTTCTCAAGCAACTCAGGGCGAGAACCAGCAAATATACTGAGCCTGCGCATGGCGTGGGCCCTGGGAGGCGTCTCAACGCCC